CTGGTACGTCAGGATCCAATTGGTCATGAACATCGTAAGGTGCTGCTTTTCGCAAATCCCAGCATACCCCTGGTTGGGATGGGTAGGCCCACCACTTCACTTTCACTTAGGCCCGGGCCAAGTCAGTGGGGGGACCCTGTCGGGCTCCTCCCCCCCCCAAAAAAAAAAAACTGTACGTGAGAGTTTCCCTTCATACAGCTCGAATCATTCTCAGATGCCCGGAGAGGCAGCCTATCCTTGTTTGTTGGGTTGGTTCACGCGCGCGCAAACGAGTACCAGCCGCAACAGCAGGAAACTATGACCAATAGAGTCAGACACTTAGCTACATCCGCACGCAAAAGGAATGTGGTTCTGGTTGAGGCTTTATTTCCCTTATTAGTAAAGGGGGCGCGGGACGTTCGCGGAGTCCGTGCCTTCCGTACCACCACAAGACTGTTCTTGGACGGATCCCGCCCCTAAACATAAGGGATAGGGGGAAGGTGGCCGGGCCTATCATATCAAAAGGGGTGTATAAAGAGAACCCGGCCACCTATTTCATTCGACGTTCGGAGGCAGGGGGTTTTGAAACCCGATTCGACCGACTTTTGGATAACAAGAAGGCGAGCTGATCTGCTTTGATCCAGGAAAAAGCCCAGTCAGCCACCAACTCGGTGCAGGTCACGTAACCTACAGCTCGGCCTTCGCTTTTTGAGGCTTCCTCTACCCACATCTCTATGTGCCTGTAGCACTTCCATATGGAGAAAATAGGCTTACCATGTTCCATCAATAGCACCTAACCTATGCCGATTTTGGCGGACCGTGCTCCACCCCGGTGAACTCATGCGGTTCCGACGTGCCCAGAGGCCAGAAGCGAAATCCGTTCACGGTCCGTAGGACCAACACCATTCGAAGGTGGGCGGCCCGCCTAGAACAGTCATGTTTGACTGGGCTTACACACATTCGCTCACTTACGCTGTCCCCCCTCAGCTCACCCTAGCCCCGGGCCTTTTGCTCTTCTAACGTAAGCTCCAAGGCTTCACACCAAGTCTTCACTGAGAAAATATGCATGCTTAAGTAGGGTCAGGCAGAACCGTTGTTGCCTGATGGGAACTTCCCCCATATTGCTATCAATGTCTTCATGTCGCACGACCTCTTAACATTACACCACTGAATCCCCAATCCTTTGCTTGCTGTGCAGTGACAGTACCAATATCCACTAATCGTTGTTTCCAGATACGGTTGCCGGTTGACATCTCTTCTAATTCGTCGATACGAGAAGAAAATTGTTGTGTGGAGGAATAAATATCTCGACATAAGCCAAGAGGCAGATCTTGTGCCACTCCACCTGGTCGTATGAAACTGGCATGCATCCTGGCTCCCGATACTCTTTCATAGAATTCCAACAATTTCTCCCGCTCCTCAAAAGCCCACAGGAACGGAGTTAATGCTCCCACATCCATAGCATGAGTAGTTAAAGCAAGTGAATGATTTGAAATTCGAGTTATTTCACGGAATAACACTCGTATATATTGAGCTCGTAATGGTACCTCGCAATTCAAAAGTTTCTCTACGGCTGAAGAATAAGCGTGTTCTTGGGCCATCGTAGAAACATAGATAGGGTCGACGACGGAACGAACAACGAAACTTTACGACAGCTTTTTCGTACACGTTCACTTGCATCACATACACAAGTGCTCTCTGAACCGTGCAATAAGGTCACCCATAACACGGCTCTCCCACTTGAGTTACCTTAGCCCCGGGCCATGCTATTCAATGATATTGGAAAAATGGCAGTGTAACGTAACAACTAGTATTGAAAGCTGGTCGCCTTTTGAGGGAGGGAAAGCGTTTCATTTCAATAGGAGCCCTACTTCCCTCTTTGCGACCTCATCACTGAAATTCAAGCGCAAACCAATTTCTTTCTTAGTCACCGGGCTCCGCGCACCAAAGGCCTACCAAAGGTAGGGCGAGCTCTTTGATAGTGACTTCTTTCGTTTGGTAGGGCGACGAAAGGCTACTTCAATCTAGGAAACAGCCGGAAACTCGAAAGGGTCGCCTTTGGAAGCGTTCGTCGGTAACCCAAGCGTCTCGTTTCCGCAACCACTTGGGTACTTTGCTTATAGCTTTTTTAGGTTATGCAATAGAAGGGGCTTAGCTCTGGATCCCCTGCTTTCTGAAATGAATGGATCAGAAGAGGGCTGGGTTCTATTTCCGGGCCGGGCGGGAGGTGAAGGCCATAAGAGAAGATTGCCCTACCGGTAAGGAAGAGAGGAAAAGGACGCTGTCATCTATCTCGACCAGTTTCCCGAGGCGTTGGAAATCCAGACCGGCTCAGAGAATCACTTAAGCCGAAGGCGCCCTTCGTTTCGCCAACAAATAAGTCATCCTTGACGATCTTTCCCATTCCTTCCCTGCCGAGCCACCTCTCTTCGCCATTCGAAGTACTACCTCTGCCTTCCTTTTCTATAACATACCCAGGCGCCCTCCTTTCCAATCAAAAAGATTAAATCAATACCAATCAAAGCCCTATCTAAGTAAAGCTTCGTCTGTTATTTTTCGGGGAGTTTACTCGACCCATTCCCCAGTCTCCCGCACTGCTCAAGTAAGTGTGCGACTCCGTATGAGGACCTCCTTCCCTTCTGCCCACTCTCCGTTCACACGGTTCTAAAAGCAGAGAAGGAAGGGTAGGCAGCAGGTACCACGAGCCCTCTGTCCCACACATCTATCCAGAAGCAAGTGTAGTTCACCGGTTCCACCGAATGCTCCTATCTCTCGGCAAAGATCGTGTGAGTGTGCAGTTATGCTTCGGATGCTTCGCCATAGAATAGATCGACCCAGTTCCCGTTCTTTTCCGGTTCCGGTGCACTCGCTTTATATCTCCGACACACAAGGAAGGACGCGGTGGGAAGGAAGCAGCCCTAGCCTCTGTCCGGCCGATCATTCCGCTGGCATCTTGCATTCACGCCTCCGTTTGACTGCCGCTCGGGGATGTAGTTGTAGATACGTTAGTTTTAGTGGATCGTTGGCTCCACCTGTTATCTCCTTCTACGACATGCTGTTGTCGTCGCCATATTCCATATGTCACTTAGTCATCTCTGCCTCGCTGCGGGTCAGCACCTCCGAAAGAAACGGAGGACTTCATTCAGTGACTCCGCGATCGCCCTCTGAACGATCAGAATAAGGTAAAGCTTGAAGATAAGTTTTGTACTCTATTAATTTCTCAGTCCCTCTAGTCGGGTGGGCGTCGGCCGGTCTTTCGACCCGATCCCCCTAAAAACCGTACGTGCGGGTCTCCCCGCATGCGGCTCACGCCATTCGAGGTGGCCCACCCAGCCCAGCATTCATTCGCAAATCCTGTAGTGAAATTGAGACTGCTCGACCTCGTAAGCTAATTCGCGTGTAGGCAGCGCTATCTGTCCTACCCTTGACTCTATCTATTCATTGAAATGACTTTATTACATTTTTTATATAATATAGGCTCGCTCCCTCTTTTTCCAAGAATTCATGCGCTTCCCTTTACTTCATAGGGCCTTCTATAATAGGTGAAAAGCCTTCCATTTCCGTCAAATGACCCGGCCTCCCCTGGCTCTTCCACCGTCCGGGCTCCCTTTCCTCCCTATGCTCCCCCGGCGCAGGCCTACCACGCTTCGCGCCTGCGGCGTTTTCGCCAGACGGTCTTGGCCAGTAGTGCCATCCTCCCCGCTGGATGTATGGGCGGGTTGTCCATCGCTGCTGCGTTCTGTTAGGCTATAGATTACAGGAACAAATGTAGTTGAATGAGACAGTAGGCGGGTTACACGTTCCACTGTGCCGAGATGTGAGGTGCAGGTGGTGATGATCACCCCGGGGTATGCGCTAGCGCCCTTGACAGGCACTCCAGGACCCGCCAACGCTCATGAAAACCCGGATCGGTCGGTCCTCCATTCATCCGACCGGAGGTGTGGATAACGAGGCCACCTTCACAACCTTCTCCCTTATGTCCCTATGTTGTAGTAAGGTAGGGTGGTTTGCTTGAGTTGCTCAACCGCCCCTTAGCCCGGTGCTCATGACGCGCTACGGAACCTCCACCGTGCCGGGGGACCAAGCAGGGCATAGCTAGCGGCATAGGAGCCGACTCGGCGTCAGCGGCTTCGTGCCGCACTGGAGTAATCCAATATGTGGATCCGCACGTTCCACCACTTCTCCGTTCATTTCCAATACTGATCGTGAAACACCATGAGCAGCAGGATGTTGAGGTCCGAAATTCGAAGTGAAATTTTTTATTTGCCCGTTCCTAGTCGTCATGGGAAAGAAAGGCAGAAATAAGAAAGAGATTATTCCCTAAGAGCTTGTACAGTACTACCAGTACCATAAATGCATCTCCTTCGCCTAGCGCGATAGCTCTACCTGGCGTGCCCGCCTTGCATCGCTATTGGCGGCAAAAAAAAATAGCTCACTGAGCGATGATTGATGCAGCCCCCACCTCTGAAAGCTGAGGGAAGGCAGTGCCCTCGATTGTTCCAGAGAGAAGGAAGGGAAGGATTCAATCCAGCCATAGGGTTCCTTACGGCTACCTTGTTTCGAACGAAAGCTCCCCTGGGTCGCGGCGGAGTAAGTCAAAGATCCAGTGCGCATTCGGGTCAGATTGCCATTTTGATTCACTACTATGTTGTCGAATCAGATTTAGCAGATTATTAAGGGCGTCTACATCCGCGCCATCATAAAAAAAGAGTTTTTGGCGATCTCATGTGCGGCTTCGAGAAAGTCCAAGTCCTCTCGGCCCCTCGAACAATACTTGCCACAGAAACCCATACCTCTACAATACTGGTGGCAGTCTTTCTGGAGAAGAAGGTAGCCTTGGCTAAAGCTCTACGAATTTCTTTTCGTAGGCGTTCCGGCTCCGAATCATTGTTGTTCGGAACGCTGGGCTCGGCTGGCCCGCATGGAGCCGGAGAACCATCGGTACCAAACCAATCCGTTGGCCCGGTCGATCCATGTAGAATTTTCGGAGCGGGTAAGCAAACAAAAAAAGAGGTAGATAGACACCTAAAATAACCAAAATCAGAATGAGGAAGAAAAAGAGATCGTGATGTAAGTCCATTATTCGATCATCCACTTTCAAATTCGTGTAAAAGTTGGAATCCAACTTTCTAATAGAGTTGTTAGTTCCGCTGCTCTGGGAGAGAATTCCATGATTCAAAAAATTGATGTAAAAGTCAAGGGAGAATGCCGCTGCTGTAAATAAACAAGAAAAGCGGGTACATCCGGGGGTCGGTTCGCCCGACCAGAAATTATCCCCCACCTAATATTTGACTAACCACCCCCTGCCCCTGAAGAAAGAAAATGGAGAAGATTTTAGGCTTGATGAAAAGAATCACTACCAAATCCATATAAAGAAAGATCCTGTAAAATCGAAAAAAAAATGATCTAGATCGTTTGTTTCCCCAATGACTTCTGTTGTAAATTGTGGAAATTTCCAGTCAGGTGGGAGATTCAAATTGTACGTGTACATAAGCTGTTTTAGATTCTCGTTGATACCAGCTCGCATCAACTGTGTTCTTATATAGAGGGTTTTCGACTTGTTGTGGGGCAGGTAGTTTTTGCTTTGCTGACTTTGATTTCGAATCAATTGACACAAGTTCTGTATAAGGTGAAGGAGTGAGACTTTCTTTTTCATGCGAAAATTCCTTCTTTGCTTTCTTTTTAAATTAAAGACACATCGGCAACTGGCCCGAAGAAACTTTGAAAGCGTCCTGGTGCGCTTCTTAAATATATCTGTTTGGAATTGGAAAAGAGGAGTGGATCCTCCCAAAAAAAATGGAAATGGGATTTTCTCATTGTAACTTGGGGCTTTAGGTCTCTGTCCCACTGAAACTTATAGGTTTGGATTTCTTTCTTCACTGACGCAATTAGTGAGTGAAGTGAGCATGGGGCACGAACGCTTAAGAAAAGTCTTCCTTCTTTCTTTTCTTAGCGAAGGGACCAATGGAAGGATTTTGCACGAGAGAGTACTCTTTATCTTGGTAGATAGGGCACTCTCTTTTCTTATTCTTAGCGCAGGATCTCCGTTCTTCCCGGAACACTAAGACAATCGCCCTTCCTTGAAAAAGGAGAAGAGTGAGTGAGAGAAAGAGCGGTTCGGTCAGAAGCAGATACCACACACTCAAGCCAATGAAGAAGCGCATAAGCAAGACGAATCTCTTTCTCTTTCCATATTCAATTACGAAAAAAGGGGCGCATACATATATAGAGCTAACATCAGTCATATGTCGTTATTTGCGACTCACATTCGTTAACAAGCTATTATGCAAAACCAGCCATAGGAAAGCTGGAATCCGTTGGGGCCCGGGACATTTCCAAACTATCTCCCACCGTTTGAAGCACCCCAAACCTGCCCCGAAAAAATAGCATACGCTGACTTTGTGGTGAAGTTCCCTTGATTAGACGACCCCCAGATGATGCGATCATTAGGCGCAAAGTTATGCGGGGGCTTAATCCCAGCAATCAGTAGACAAACATGATGAGGCAGGAACGGAACATCTGAAACGCACTCCAATTCCAGCCACATTCTGATGAATAAGCAGCAACACAGAGATTCACGGCACCCTCGTGAACTTGATTTATAGCTTTGTGAATAAGTGGTCCTTTATTTTCCACCCATGGGTCAAGCCAAAACCTCGCTACCCTACCGTTACCTATAACCCATCTGCATCCTTTAAGAACCAAAGGCCATACTTTTCTATAAGGGGGAAGCATTCGGTTTGGTAATTACCACAGGAGGGTGCCCCTTATCCTTAACATACTTTCCTTTCAAAATCTGCACCCAGAGTTTATCCGGTTGTGTTAATAAACCCCATCCTAGCTTCATGATAAGAGCCTCGTTATTTTCCTTAGCTTTCCTAATACCTAGACCGCCGTTTTTTTTAGGTTGACCTACCCTATCCCAACGCACCAAATGAGGCTTTTTTACACCTGATCCAAAAATAAAAGCTCTGGTTTGCTTTTCAATCTCTTCACAAACCGTATAAGGAAGAGCTGCGGTCTGCATTGTATACGTTGGGAGGGCAGTGACTATCGATTGGGCCAAGGTAGTACGCCCCGCCATCGACAATTGGCTGGTCTTCCACCTACTTAGTCTCTCATGAACTCGATTAACAATATCATGGTATGTGGCTCTTGTCACTCGATCATGGAGTAAGGGGACCCCAAGAAACTTCCCAAGGTTCCTTGTTTTGGTGAAACCTCTACTGATTGCACAAGAGAGACCATCAGAGAGGTTTTTTAGAAATGGATCTTGGATTTAGCAAGACTCACTTTCTGACCTGAGCTAGCACAAAAGGACTCCAAGCAAGCTTTAATGACCGGAACTTGATCCATTCATGCTTTAGCGAAAAGGAGCAAGTCATCCGCAAAAAACAAATGATAAAGCTGGGGACCATTCTTAGATAACTGAATAGGCTTCCATAATCCTTGTCGAACCGCTAGATCATGAGCTAATCTTTCCAGGAAAAATATATATAGTAATAAATAGAGGGTATCCCTGTCTAACTCCGGGAGACGGCAAAAAGGCATCTGTCACCTCTCCATTCCAAAAAACCTGCATACTACTCGTAGGTAGAAATACACATCATAATGAGCTCCAGCATCTGACTAGGCAAAAAAATCATCTCAAGGAAGGAACTAACCATTACTTGAGATGCCCCAAGGCGGTAACTGATTCACTGGAAGGAAGAAGCAAGTGACTGGGCAGAATACCATTAGCCTGTTTCCTTCCTTGCTTGGGAATGAGTGACTGCCCACAATGAGAGGGAAAGGTGTACGTTTAGAAGCCGAGTTCCGGTTTGGTAAATGCCTAAGGGTCGGGCGAGTATTGGTATTGAGCTTGCTACTGGCTTCAAGGTCTGAGTCGACCCGGCTTGCATAATTTCCTTTTTAGAGGGCGCTAAGGAGTAGAGGCAGTTCTTTCATTCCCGGAACTAGTTAGAGCCCCATAATCAGAAGCGCAGGAAGCACAAAGAAGGAAGGTCTAAGCTTCTTTAGCTAGAGCGAGAACAAAAGATGCGGAGGCAGGGGCTATGACCAGAGCCCCATGGATTTAAACCCCAGACCCCGTTGTCGATCCGCCAGCACCATAAAGAAAAAGGAGGTACCGAGGCAACCGGAGCTTTCCGCAGTTTGATACTTGGGCTTCAGTAGCCGATAGGAGGTGAACCATAACTTGTTGACCATGCAAAAAGAAATCCTGGGGCAAAGGCACCATGGGAAGCAAGTCTTAAGCCAAACCACTCTATTATATTATATACGACCGACATTGGATGAGCGCACACGGGGTGGGCTAGCTAAGACGGAAAGAGTGAAAGTTCGATCCTTTGCCGGATCCGGATATAGAGAGTGTGAAGTGAGTGGTAGCTGTTGTCGTTGAAGGATTCTCTTTGAACGAATCCGATTTCTCACTAGTGAAGAATCTTGGATAGTGGAATCCCAATAAGCATCCGATGAGTCGGCCCTGGTAAGTTCTATTGAAGGTAGCATTTCACCTGCTGGAACTAGATATGGTAGATCCATAGCTAAGGGAAGGGAGACTTTCTATTTTCACGACTAAGCCGAAAGGCCGATTGGAGAGTCAATGTGGGACCTTACCTTAAAGCATGTGAGAATACGCTTTGGTAGCAGCTTACCAAGATCATACTTTGAATTCTAATCTTAAATAGCAGAGAATCTGCCATATTTGAAGTAACTAAGCCAGAAAGCACGGGATGAGACTTTTGTCAAAAAAAACTTGTCTCGGAAAGTCAAATAAAGCATTTCCCGCCTGGTCTTTCTTCTCGCCTGGACTTCTTCTTCCTGACTCGAGGTTGAGAATAGGATTCGATTGTAAACGGGATCAATCAACATAAAGCAAACCTCTTCCTATGCAGTTAGATCGACTCATGGTATAGCTCTTAATAGGCATGTAGCCGTAGGTGGGAACTCTTCTTTCATCTCAAGCTCCCGCATCAACCGCTTAAATCAAAGAATTTAGGAGTCAATGCCAGACTCAGGCTAGTGGAATCAATCCCAGACCAAGTGACTGAAGAAGTATGGTTCGGTTTACCGATCTTGAGGTAGAAGGAGCTTGACCGATAGCGAAGGACAGAGTTAGTGCATTGATTCTGCATCAAGCTCTGAACCAAAGCTCATTCTTTTCTCTATTGTACCCTCATCGACATCTCCTTACGCTGATTCAATAGCAGCTGGGTTGTGTGGCTGAAAGACGTTCAAGCTCAAAGCTAATGTTTCTGTCATACCAGACTCTATTCTATTTCTTTCTACTCTCGAGTTACTGGCTTTCCTTTCGAGCAGACTAAAAGGTAAGGTAGCAGCTACGACTTCTTCCTTCTGGGCTTATGACTTGCCAAGTCCAATAGCAACGGATTCTCAGCAAACCCTATGCTCTTTCTGTATTCGAAACTTGGTGGGCTGGCTATTGGAGTCTTGATCTTACCCCTAACTTGAATGCAGCTAAAGAGCATTTTATAGCCAAATTTGCTGGTGTAAAGAAAGGAAAAAGGTCTTCTAGCTCTCCTGCTCCTACTCCCAATAAGTCCAAGCACAGAAGAAATGCTTTCTTCCTTAATTCGTTTCATTTTACTTGTAAAAATAAAGACAGAAA